AAACCCAAAGTGACCCCGCTCATTAGTCAAACACACATATTTCAGAAGAAAACTTCTTCATCCATAAAACCTTTTCCCAGATTATGTCCTCACAACAAATGAATCCCCTTCAGAACTCCTAACAGAGCCGGCCACATTTTAGCTTCTAATAAGCACATTTAGAGGTCTGGGATGTTAAGGTTTGATTAGGAAGGTCGGTACAATAAGCAGAGACTTACAGCTTGAAGAAAGTCGTCCCCAGCTGCAGTAACAGCACATGGGGCAGTCTATGCTCGTGTACGATCAGAACCCCTTCCACTGTCCGCCTCATGCCGATTTTGTCAAATTCTTCTCTCATGCGTTGAAAACGAGCTGCCACTGAGCTGTCCTTCTCATAGAGGGGCTCCTTTGTACCAAAGGTATAGTTGGTAAGAGGATACCTATAAGGAAAAGAAATAGGTTACAGCATGACAAGAAGGCTGGATTTAAATCACAAGCACGCAGAACAGTCCCTGCTTGAGCAAACGGTAACTCCGTCACTCTCATAGGGAGGTGGCAAGCTGAGTTGCAGCACCCACATGACACCAAGATCTGCTCGAGGAGATACAAGCACAGGAAGCCAGGCTGACCGGACACGATGTTACGGGGCCGATTCAGAAGCAGGCAGGGAACTCCAGACGTGCCAGCAGCCCGCTTGGACCTGCACACCGCAGACCAAAGGCAGCTGAGGCTCTGAGAGGAGATGGGAAAGGGACGGGAGAGAACTGCTGGGAAGGATGGAAGCTGCACGGGACAGCTCCCGTTTCTGCAGGAGTGATGAAGAGCCTGAGAACTGAACTGTTAGAAGAGGTTTTGCTTTGAAGGGGAAAATGAGATGCCTGGATCATGGAAGGGGAATGCTGAGCATCAAGGGCAGGGCTGGGGGCCTGGGGTAAGAAGAGCTTGAGCAGATCACGCAGGTGGCTTTGGTGTTGGACCTCTGCTTCCTCTAGGAACAACGCAGAGTACCCTGAAGGGATTTCTATAGGCAACAGGGACCAAGTAGAGAGAGAAGAATCAGAAGAAAGAAAAACTTAAGAAATTAAATAGCCCAAGAAGGCACAGAGGGCAACAGGAAAGCATTATTGTACAACTAAATGCAAGTAACAAAGAAATCACAAGCCACTTCCAGCTGCTGGAGCCGTTCTCAGGCACACAAGTGAACCAAAATTCGTTTCCTAGCTGCTGATACCTTCATGAACAAGCTTCTCCCCTGCACTTAGAACCACCTACATTTCCATTCATTTCCTTTCTTTTTGATTCCCAGAGAGCCATACTAATAACCCGCTGTGTTTCCCTGTAATACCCTATACCACGTGTGTGTGGGTACATTAGTTCCTACCTCACAACTGTTAGCTCGTGCTCTACACAAAAAGTTGGTAATAGTTTCCTACTGATTCTTCTCTTCAGAAGCACCATAAAAATACCCCAACCTTTGAAACTAACATTTAAACTTCTGCAATAAGACTCTAACTGTGAATAAACCCAGCTGTACCAAGCAATACACACTAATTTGTTTGATTAAGGGCTAACAGTGAATATGGACTACTGCAGTTCACATTTACTGCTTTGCAGCTTGACAGGCGTATTCCCCAAAGAACGCATCAGAGTTTACTCAGAGAAGGCAGCAGAAATAGATGCCTTCTCATGCAATAAAAGTACAAATAATTGCTCTAATTGCCACAGATATGAACTTTGTCAGGTAGCAACTAAAGTGAAGTTGAATTAAAACACCTGGCTCACTCAGTGGCAGCAGGGAGATCTAACCACATGCCGCTGCCCACGCTGGGTGAGCCCAACGGCAGCAGAGCCCCGCTGCTCTCCCAGGAGTCACCCTGAAAGCTGCAGGAGGGGCAGAGGGGCCACCCTTCACTCTGTGCCACCTCTCCCTGACCCCCTAGAAACATAGAACCATAGATGCATAAAGGTTGGAAGAGACCTCTAAGATCACCTGGTCCAACCACTGCTGTCCCCCACTAACCATGTCCCCAGGCACCACGTCCAATCTCTCCCTGAACACCCCCAGGCACAGTGACTCCACCACCTCCCTGGGCAACCCATCCCAACACCTGACCGCCCTTCCTGAGCAGCAATGTCTCCTCATTTCCAACCTGAACCTCCCCTGGGGCACATTGAGGCCATTCCCTCTGCTCCCATCACTGGGTACCTGTGAGAAGAGGCCGACCCCAGCTCCCCACAGCTTCACTTCAGGCAGTTGCAGAGAGCAATGAGGTCTCCCAAAGACCCCTTGCTGCAGCAATGAGGTCTCTCCTCAAAGACCCCCTTGCTGCACCCAGAGCCCCTCAGAAACCCCCAGAACCTCTCAGAAACCCCTCAGAGCCCCTCAGCAGCCCCCCAGGGCCCCTCACAGCCTCCCCCCAACGCCGGCCGAGCGCTGTCGGGGCTCTCACAGGTTGATGGTCCTCTCGAGGGTGAGCGGCTTGGTCTGCTGGATGTACTTATTGCCGAACTGGTTGACCCCGCGGGGCCAGCCGGTCTGCGAGCGGTTGGGCGGCACCACCGACATGGCGGCGAGGGCAGCAGGCCGGCGGGAGCGCCGTCCGCCATCAACCACCCGGAAGCCGCCTCAGGAGCCGCGCTTCCGACCATAGAGACGAGGTCCTCCCGCGCGCGCGGGGGACGCTGGGAGTTGTAGTCCCCGCCTCAGCCCGGCGGCGCCATGGGGGCGAAGCGGCGCGGAGCGGCGGCGGCGGGGGGCGGCGGCGAGGAGAAGCGGGGGCGGCGGGCGGCCAGCGCCCAGCTCTGCGCTGCCCTCGGCGATGCGGCGCTGAGGGAGCGGGCGGCGGCGGCTTGGGCCCGCGGGGAGCCGCTGCGGGACGGTAGGAGCCCGGTTGTGTCGTCCCCCCCACCCCCTTAATCCCGGTTCCCCCCCCCCCGCGGTCCCCTCAGCGCCGTTTGTGCCCCCTCAGAGGCGGTGTCGGTGGAGCCGGCGCCGTTCCGGCACGGGGTGCTGCCCCGCTTCCTGCGCAGCCCGGCCTTCGCGGCGGAGCTGAGCGATGAGCTGCTGGGCCTCGGCTTCACAACGCGCCGCAACGACCTCGTCTCCGTGCGGCAGGTGCGGGGGGGGGGGGGGCGGGGTTTGGGGTCAGGGGATGGGGAACGGGGGGGGTTTGGGGGCAGGGAGTGGGGATCGGGGAGGTCTGGGGTTAGGGGATGGGGAATGGGGGTGTTTGGGGTCAGGGGATGGAGAGCGGGCAGTTCTGGGGAATAGGGATGGGGACCCGGGGTGTTTGGGGTCAGGGAATGGGGAACGGGGAGGTCTGGGGTCAGGGAGTGGGGATCGGGGGAGATCTGGGGTTAGGGGATGGGGAATGGAGGTGTTTGGGGTCAGGGAGTGGGGAATGGGGGGGGCTTGGGGTCAGGGGATGGGGAGTGGGAGAGATCTGGGGTTAGGGAGTGGGGAACAGGAGGGTTCTGGGGTCAAGGGATGGGGAGTGGGAGAGATCTGGGGTCAGGGAGTGGAGAACGAGGCTGTCTGGGGTCAGGGGATGGGGATCAGGGGTGTCTGGGGTCAGGGAACGAGGAATCAGGGCATCTGGGGTGAAAGGATGGGGGTATCTGGGGTTAGTGGGGCCCAGGAAGTGGGAGCCAGGGAGCAGGGAGCGGTGGGGGAGAGTCTGGGGTGAGGGGGTCTGTGGAGCAGGGGTCGTGGGTTGGAGGGGGTCTGGGAGTGGGCTGGGGAGCAGGGGACACGGACCGGGGGGTCTGGGGATGAGGGGCTCCAGGAGCAAGGCCTGGGGCGGCTGGGGAGCAGGGACCGGGGTTTTGGGGCCCGAGGGGTGTCCAGGAGCAGGGTCCAGGAGATTCCAGCAGGACCCCAGGGGTGTCGGGGAGCAGGGCTGCCCTAACTGCTTCCCTCCTGCCCGTCCTTGGGGTGCCACAGTCCGAGGAGCTGGGGGCCCGGCCGGAGCCACACGTCGCCGCGCTGAGGTAAAGGCCTGGGGATCCTCGGGTAGGAGCCGGGGCTGGCCCCGAGCCTGCCCTACACCTCGTGCTTGGCTCCGCAGGCGAGCGCTGAGCGGAGAAGTCCGAGCGTGGCTGTCTGCCATCACCCAGATCGAGCTGGAGCCCACCATCGACATCTCCTGCGCTAAATACGAGTGTACCGGTCAGTCTGCCAGCAGCCCTGCCCCTGACTGCTGCTGTGGGGGTGCAGGGAGCTGTGTTCCTGCTGAAGACCCTCCAAACCCCCATGCTAGCCCCTTATAATGCCAGGAAGGTCCAACAAACTGGCAAAAGTCACGCTCAGGGAGAAGAAACACGTGTGAGGTCCAGATTACGGAAAAGCTATCGCTGCAGTCACCTCACCTAGCCTTTTTGTCATGAAAAATGACCTCAGGCTGGGGATATTTGTACTGCTCTTAACTCAAAGGTTTTCTGCACAACCAACCATTGTCCTCTTCTTAAGAGATCTACCCCCCCTCCAGCAAAAAACCTCCTCAAAGGGCAGTGGTGCATTAAAGAATCAGACCTTGAATCACCGATTAATGTAGGAATCTGTCCACTGTACCCAGCAATAGCTGCAGAGGGTGGGTGACAAGAATTGTAACCGTGTGCGTCGTCAGAGTGGGCTAATCCATCACTTACACCAAAACCCCACAGCGTTACTCTTACTGTGCTGGTGATGCTGACAGGTGACACTACAGTTCTTGGGCAGGGCATGTTTATTCTTGTATCTGTGTGGGGACAAAGCTGAGAAGGAACCACTGAAATTAATTGTACATATAATAGGTTCTACTGCAGCAAAATGTGTGTAATTGCAGATGTCTTACTGTGCCACGATGATGAGCTGGAGGGTCGGAGGATTGCTTTCATCCTGTACCTCGTGCCACCCTGGGAGAAGAGCGACGGGGGGACGCTGGACCTGTTCAGCACAGATGGTAAGGGCTTGGAGCTCAGCCTCAGGGGACTGGAAAAGATGAAGCTTATGTGGCCCTTGCAGCAACTCTGCCCTCAAGCACTACAAGGAAGATAAATAATTTATTCTTAATTCAGAAAAGCTGACATATGGATAAAATTTGCACCTTGGAGAGGGGCTGTAGTAGTCTTTGCAGACACGGCTGGTGGGTGACAGCAGAGGAAAAAGAGGCCAATGAAGAGGGGAATCCTTTTTTTCCCCGCTTCTTTGAAGGAGCCAAGAATGGAGGCAGGATAGAAGTGAAGCCGGTAACTGTGCTTGGAACTTTAATGTGACGAAGATAACTTTCCTTTCCAGCAATAAAAGTTCACTGATTGCTCATCAGGCTCTTGCTCTGAGCTCCATACCTTACACCCAGGTGTCTCACCTGTCACAATATCATGTAGGCAGAGAGAAATGTCAGTTCCTCGCAAGCACCAGTTCTTATCTTAATCAGAGTATGCTTTCTTCCTCCTCAGAACACTTTCAGCCGCAGAAAATCATCAAGTCATTAATGCCTTCGTGGAACACGCTGGTTTTCTTTGAAGTGTCTCCAGTCTCTTTCCACCAGGCAAGGAGCTGCCTTTTATTCATTTTGATTTTTCTCACTGTTGTGGTTATTCATTCCGTGTGTAATAACAGTCCTGGTGGGTTGGGGAGAAGGAAAAGGGAGAAATGTACGCAGTCAGGACAGATACTTATGCAAAGTGCTGTATTTTAAAGGCTAGTGACTTTGAGGAGGAAGGAACTGACAAAGCCAGCTTTAAACCATCCGTCTAGCTTCATCATCTTGGGGAAGAAATTCCAAAGTCTTCATGTGCTATTTAGAAATTCATGACAGTTGGTGGCTAGCAATCAGTCGTAAGGGGATGGCTCTCTCTTCACACTGCTATTACAGTTCATCACTCTCAAATCTGCAGCTGTTCAGTTTAGCCCAATTCATGTCTGTGCACAATTTCATTAAATCAATGTTTAATGGTGGCTATCGCTGTGAAAAACAAGGGTTTCCACAGACCAGTTTAAATGCCAGGATAAAAGACTAGCTCTTAGTCTGAAAGGTTTAATCCAGAGCCAAAGGCATCAGGCAAGTGCCCTTCATGATGGCTTGTTTTACGGCACTTTTTAAAAAGTAAAAGACAAAAGTGAGACCAGCATAGCCTGCTGTGGCCCACATGCTCATCTGTATTCTGAGTATCCAGATTAACCTGTGGCAGCTGAGTTTTGCAGCCTGTGCTGGCTGGTTCTTCAACAGGACAAGTGGTAGAAAACTGACGTTACCTTTAATAATGAAGTGACTCAACTTTTGCGCAAGCTATCAGAGAGGGGGAGTGGGTTCTGCTGGGTGCTTAAAGTGAAAGCTCAGGATCGGATTTTGGAAATCTACAATGGATTTGAACATCAGAGTTTCCTTTCGCCCTCTCTGTGTGAACAGGGAATAACCCAGTTTGCTCTAGCCCTTGTCTGACTCCTGTCTGCATCTAGTAGGCTCTCTGGAGTCAAGTCTGCATGTTATGATGAGTCTAGGTAGCCTGTTACATGGTCTAAACAGTAACGTGCTGCTCAACGTTGTTACAGGTGTCAGAGATCCTGTCGGAGGAGAAGTGCCGCCTGTCAGTGAGCGGCTGGTTTCACGGCCCACCAATAGACAGACCTGCACCCTACATTGAAGCTCCCTTGCCCAGGAGCCCACACATCCCTTACGATGTGAGTAGCAAGCCTAGATTTGCTTAACGGCATTTCCATTTCTTTCATGGCAGCTGGAGTACCTGCTTGGGACACACCAGTGCTTGGGGATGCTTTAATCTTTAACTTATCCCATTCTTTTTGTTTCTGTCCATACATTTGTGGCTAGTTTCCCTCTTGTATATCTCTTTTTACTCTGTCCATTGTGCATGCCAACAACAGCACAGAGAATGCAGCTAATGCTCCTTGTGCAATTAAAAAAAAAGAAATAAATGGAGTCTTGGGGGTGGAATCTAGCTCTGTGACCAAGAGGAATTGGGAATCATTCTTACTTTTGCAAATACACTGTTCAAATCCATTTCCCTTCCAGCATGAAATCTTGTACGAGTGGATCAATGTAGTTTATTTGGACATGGACTCCCAAGCTCAAATCCAGGAGGAATTTGAGGAGCGATCAGAAATTCTCCTGAAGGATTTTCTTAAGGTGAGCCCCATGGTTCCATCTGATGTGGCCTGCCAGAATGGGTCTCGGGGCTAGTAGTGACCACACATCACGCAGGCCGGGAAAGGCCTTGCTTGTATAGCAACTAAAACACCTAATTTCACACCCTGAAGGGGGCTGGACAAGGTGACCTCAACAAGTCCCTTCCAACCTCAACCATTCTGTGATTCTGTGGTTGGATCACCTGCTCGCTGCCTGTACACTGCTGTGTAGGGACACATCAAAACCCACAAACTTTGCTTTACCATTCTTTTTTCCTACTAGAAGCAAAGCAGAAGGATGGAAACACGTCATCCTTCCTGTGGTGACCGGAGTGTCCTTACCTGTCCCTCAAGCTCTCGCAGCTAAGGAGCACTCAGGGAACTCGACCTGTATGTAAAACAAATACTCACAATGGTTTTGTCTTTCTTGAAAGGCTTTGCTTCTCAAGGCTGACTTACCCCTGCTTTACTGAGCATCCATATCTCAGTGAAATTACGTTTTCACCCAGAAGAAAATCAAGTAATGTCTTATCTATTAGTCACTGGCATTGAAAATTCACTGTGCCTGCCCAGCCTGTGCCCTTCAGCTCAGCAGTCCTTAGGAGCCATAGACAAGTTAGAGAAAAAGTTAAAGTGCCTTATGTATGAGTGCAGGATGGCTGCTTGTAATACACCAAGAGAGACCTGGAGGGTAAACATTCAAGTTTTTGCACTATCTTTCTCTTGTAGAAAGAGAAATTTCAACTACTGTGTGAAGCTTTGGAGAACAAAGACATCCAGTGGAATACCCGGGGGCCTCCCAACAAAAGGTAGGAAATAACAGCATCCTGCTTCTACTGACCATGCCAAGCAGGAGCTGCCGTGAGGCTGCACTGACCAACGTGGCCATCGGTTCCCCACTGCTGATACCTCTGCTATCTTTCAGACTCTACGAGGCAGCAGAGGAGGACAGCCTCCCTGATATCCTGAAGAACTTCCTGCAGTTCTTACGCTCAGAGGCTTTGTTTTTACTGCTTTCCAACTTCACTGGCCTGAAGCTGCACTTCTTGGCGCCTTCCGATGAGGATGAAGATGCTGGGGAAGGAAGAGCAGCAGACAGTGCTGGGCACAGCAGTCCCAAACCCAGGCAGGATGGGACTGAGCAACACGCTGATGGCAGTGCCCATCAGCCTGACGACATCCCCGAAGCACAAGACAGCGAGACACAGAATGGTAAGTGGAGCAGCAGCAGCATGAAAGGACTAGAGCAGAATCCTGACTTCAAGGGTTTTGGTAGCAGAATTCCTAGAGATTCTCATGGAAGTAGAATTTCACCTGCAGCAAGCGCAGGGCACAAACATGGGATTTGGAGCATGTCAGATGGGGTATCCAAAAAAAAACCGACCATTGCAGAAGAATTTGGACTAAAATAATGCATTGGAGCAGCATTTTGAACAGACCTTGTCAGCCCCAAGTCTATAGGACAAGACTTCTGCAGGAGTTAAAGGATGGGTGAGGAGGGAAGGGTGTTGATTGCCCGATAATGCTTTGCCAATAGTTACATGGTTTCTACATCCACATGTTCCTGCTTCATATAAAATAGATTTTTATATGAGAGACCAAATCAAATAGAAGGAAGTGAAGAGATTAGAAGTAAAGGTAATTTTGGATTTAGAAAACTAATACCTAAAAATTAAGATTTAACCTTTTAGAAAATGCTGCCAGCCTAAACAACCAATTAATTGCCAGCAATAAGATATCGTATATAAACAATAATATTAATTTTGGAATCATGGACCGGTGCTGTTTAAGGCAGTAGCTTTGAAGTTTAAGGGTAGAATTTTTTAAAATGTTTTATGGACATTGGAAGAAAAAGGGATCAAAAACCGAGTCCTACTGAAAATCCCACCCAAATACTTCAGTGGTACAAAAGCTTTGTTGTTGTTTTTTTTTCTGATTTCCACAGCTAGACATTTGCTTTTTCTATCTACAATGCTCCTGCTGTGTGATTTTGAACTTGTGTAGGAGGAAGGCATAGTTTGAGGCTGCATGGATTGAAAACTGAGCTGGGGCCATGAGAAAAGAAAGGCTTTCCCAAATTCTGATGTACCTGCCTGGGATTCACATGAAGAGTGAGTTCAGAGCACTATCTTCCCTGAAGCATCGGCTGGTTTCGCAGTGTACTTGCAGAGCAGACAGGTTGTTGCTGGCTTTTGAAGTTCAGAGCTGTACTGTAAATCTGGGGTGGTGCGGGGGGACAACTACAAAACACAAGGAAGAACTGGTTAAACCAAACCACGTCGCCTCTTGGACCTGTCAGAGAGCAAATCTTGTCATCCCCCACATTGTACAAAGGGCATAACCAGGAGTCACCTCTGAAAAAGAAGTTAACATGGGATGTTTTACTTTTTCTTCCTTTTATGTTTTGCCAGGGCCAGCAAAGAGGGCTTCACAGCAGTGTGAAGAGTGCAGGGGTTTGCTCCCCACATACCTAGAGCTTAGCAGGACTGAAGTACTGGTCAACTTCATTGTTTTCCCTGGCATTTGTTCCCTCCCATAGGCTCAAGTACCCCTGTGTGCGCCGGGGAGCTGCGACGCTGGACCAACGGGCACTACACTCTAGTCCATGATGCTCAAGCAACTGAATTTGCTCTCGACCTACTCTTCTTCTGTGGCTGTGAAGGTAAGCAGACAAAAGAGAAAAGTAACTCATTCTCCTTGACAAGGTTTGCCTAAAGGGAAGACTTTGAATTCTGAGCATTACTACAGCAGCAGAAATTTCCATGCTTTTCTTACCTGAAGGGACTTTGTAGATTTTATCCTCAAAGTTTCTTTTGCATAAGCACTGGTTTCAGTGGTCCTTACGCAGAGATTTGGAAGTGTGGCCATGGGATCAGCTTTGACTCTGCTTCCCCATGACCTCTCCTCTTCCAGCCGGGAGGTGGCGCCTGGGGGGCTCGCTGGGGCAGAGGGAAAGGACGGGACCTTGGGGGCTTTCCTCTCACTGGGGGAGGTCCAGGTAGCCAGAATGCCTGCTGAAAGTGTTCCTTTTGGCTTTTTTTGCTCATCAAAACCATCAGTGTCTCCAATTCACAAAGCCTAGGGGTTTTTAAAGTTTCTTTAGGCATGTTGAGGCATTTTAGATTGATTGCTAGTTGGATAACGGTGAAAACAAAAATATAAACATAAGCATTTTTGACAAGATAAGCCCAGAATGCATGGCTGAAGCCACCTGGCACATGCTTGAATTGAAATCCTTTTGCATATCTGCTAAGGCAAAACTGTTCTGCACGTGGGGTGCAGAGAGCCAAACAACCTTAAATGGCCTGCCTGTGCTAAAAGGCAAATTTTGCATGGTTGCTTCAAGTCATTTCTGAATGTAAAGGGGAAAAAATAGCCTGTCAGGAGGTAAATCAGGGATAATCCTGGATCTAGTCACTGTGCTGAGTGGGGTAAGAAAACTGCATCTCCAAGAACGCTGCGTGGAGTCCTGGACGGTGTTCAACTCTTTCAGAATCTTTCTGTTCTGTTTTCAGACTGGGATCCAGAATATGGTGGCTTTACTTCCTACATTGCTAAAGGTGAAGATGAAGAGGTAAGGAGCTCAGTTACTAGTTGCAAAGTAGATGAAAAATGTTTAGAGTTGAGGGGCACAATTACACTTTGTTGTAATGATAATATAATGTTGGGGGTGCTTGGTATCACATGGGAGTTTCATGTCTACTCTCGAGCTTCCTGCCTGAATTACAGCTCATGGGTGTAGCTCTGGGTTCAGCTTTGAGAGGCTGAACTATAAACCTTAGGTTCGCTATAAACCTTAAGACTCTGGCAAAGCAATTTTTTGAAACTAATTTTTTCCCTTACTCTTGTGCCTTCTAGCTCTTGACAGTGAACCCAGAGGACAACTGCTTGGCCCTGGTATATAGAGACAAAGAAACTATGAAGTTTGTGAAATACATCAATCACCGCAGCTTGGCACGCCTGAAAAAGCATCCAAACAGAAAAGGATTTTGGGATTTTTCATTTGTCTATTATGAGTGATGGTTGAGTGACCCTTGTCACTGAAAATAGTGGCTTTGGGCAGGTTTCTGTCCAAGCTGGGGCCTGCCTAAGCCCAGACAAACTTTGATGTTAGGTTAGCATCAACAAACTTAGTTTGACTTAGCTAACTTGATCTCCTTGTATACGAACTGTACCCTTCAAAGAGGGTCCAGGTGACTTTTTTAATTAACTGTACACACGGAAATCCAGTCTCCTGACTTGATTATAACACGTGCTCTTCACTGCTTTTAATGGTACGTGGAAGGGAGCATTCCCATGCAACTGATAACTACTGTATCACAGCTTTCCAGCTGTTCTCTCATGGAAATAGCATGGTGGGATGAGTCTCTCATCTGTCAGGATGAAAATTACAACCGTGCATGGCACTAGGCTGATGACTTTTATTAAAAAAAATTTTGAAAAAAAAGTGTCAGTTGAATGCTTCAACCTGTAGCTGAGCAAGTTCTGTTACAAAATACCCAAGACATTTTCTGGAGCTTAACTGTTCATCCTTTTGTAGTGTCAGAAATAATGGAACTGCCCTGGGAAATAAGAGGTTTTTCCAGCTGTACAGCTTTAGGGAATTGCAAAGGAAAAAAGCAAGGCTCTAAAGCCGCTGGCATTGACAAGGCCTTGGCCCTGTAATAGGGAGCTGGACTTTATTATGCTAAATGTTGTGCAGGCAGACTCAGATGCAGCCCCTGCTCCAAAGAATTTACAAGTCAAGCAGTAGGTGAGAGGAGAGACCTGCTCCTATGTATTTCTCTACTTGTGAGCATGTACTGGGACAGCTTTGTGCTTCTGGTATGAAAGAGTTGTGGCTCCAGTCTCAGGAGAGGTTGGGCTGGGAACAGGAAGGTGTCAACTCACCTCTTTCGGCTCATCGTCCCCAGGGAGCAGGAGGATCACCTACAGCATAGCCTCTTGTCACTTTGATAGTTCTGTCTCAGGGTCTGCTAGGCTCCAGGGTGGCTTCTGTCACTGGAGAGAGGGTGCTCAGATCTTTCCAGGTAGCAGGCATGCAATTCTTGCGGTAGGCAGCTAACTGCTGTAAGAAACGTTGTGGTCTTGGTGCCATACCTTCCCTGGGTACGCACTTTCACTAATTGTAGCCTGCCTGCCATGTTAATTGCAAGCAGGGCTGTGCTGGACGTGTCACCCCTGGGGTGCTGTCAGCCCACTAAGAGGTGCTATTGCAGAATGCATGCTGAGCACTGAGGGAGGCCAGCCAGCTGGGCAGCAGAACACCACGCTGTAGTCTTGGCCCTGGCATGCACATGCTTGCCTAAAGCTTTTCTGCACTGGAGAGACGCAGGTGTACTCTCAGATCAGCCAGGTGTACTTGCAGATCAGCCAAGCCAGACTATGTAGGCTACGGGCCTGCAGCAAGCTGGGAAGTGTGCACATTTGTTTCCTCCTGAATCTTCTGGGTCGGGAGAGGGTGAGTTTGGTTTAGCCTGCTGCATCTCCAGCTCCAGGTGTATTCTCACTGCAGACACCTGGGGTGGTGTAAGACCACAGCTAGCAGCAGAGGATCAGCAAGCTCAAAGTAAGGCAAGTTGTGTTGGCACAAATACTCCACAACCTCAATGCAGAAGCAGCAAGGGCTTCGGGCATGACTTTATTCTGAAATGGATTAGGAGAGAGTTAGACACGATCTTGTTCACACTATGACTCATTTTCCTAAACTGACTTCTGTGCGCACTGCAGACACTTTCAGTTTTAGTGTCCCTCTGCTACTGTTTAAGCTGCTTACAAAGACAAGGGCATGAAGCTAGGAACAAATACTGAAATGTGCATTGAACTCTGTGAATCACTAATTCCGGCTGATTTCTGAGGCACTGTTACATTTCTAGGCAACAGCTATTCAGGAGGAGAAAGAAGTCCTTACTCTGAGCTGCTACAGTAGAAAAAGACAAGTAATAGGAGAATTCAAAGGAAAAAAAAATCAAAAACATTTGTGCAGTTGCAAACAAAGGTTACAGATACCACAGCTGTTCATGGTGCAGTCAACTAGGCAAAGTTGGGAGTAAGTTAATTAACAAAAAGAAATTACATATTCTTACTGCATTGTCAGCCTCAGAGTGTGTTTGGTAGGTCTTGGAACAGCCTCCCAAAAGGCTGGGAGGAAGCTGTACTTCTTGAAGCTTACTGCTTTTTAATAATAAACAATACACTAGAGGGCATACCAGCCTCTACTTGAGCGAGTCAGTTATCTCTTCGATTGTACAAGGAAACACCCTTCTGCCTCAGGTGACTGAGATGAAGTAACCTAAGAAGCCAAATTTGCACTTAGCATTGAAAGGCCTAAAAAACAACACATCTCTCTTCTCCCACGCTTCCTGTTATGTACAGGTAGCCCAGTGAAATTCCAGGTGTCAGTAGCTACTTGATGGGGAGAGGGAGGGACCCGAATTTAGACTGTGCCTGTGATGGCAGCCCTCTCTAGAGATGCTCTTACTGGTATGTGTATGTGTAGCTGCTTACAGCATACCCTGAGCATTAAGGAATAAATGAAATACGTACTGCCCACCAAGAGAGAAAGCAGAACAATACAGAAAAACAGATAAGGACAGAATAGCAAATGAACAACAGGGTACGGAGTGTGCAGCAGCTGAGAACAGAAGCTTCATACCAGGCAAGACAGCCTCCTGCAGAAGCTGACCAGCTCAGCTACACGAGGATGCACGTTTCCCACCAGATTACTGCACTGCCACAGCCAAGAACCCTGGCATTTGATGCAGGGTACCAGCAGCTTTCAGTTATTGAAGTGCTGAGTTATTCAAATGCTTCATGACAAATTTTTCAGGATCTGGCTGTTGCCCGTTTGCCAAGGAGCTGAAAACTGAAGCAATTTAATACAGTTTAGCTGTAGACCAGACTGAAGGAATGATTTTTGCATTCGTAAACACACAGCAAGTTAAGTTCTGACATCAGGTATTCAGTGAATTAGGATTAATCGAGATGAACAGCAATCCACGGGACTTGGAGAAAGTGTGGCTAAAATCCGGTAACCTATTGTCAACTGTCAGTTCCATTTTTTTGTTTGTTTGTTCTTAAACTCCAAAACAGAACTTGAACTAGGACACAGGAAATCCCTGTTGCACAGCTCCCTCTTCAGAGGGCACTGATCCAGCACAGGATTTCAGCAGCACATTTCTAAGGCAGCAAAGGGACCTTACGGGGAAAGCCATGTGCCCATGAGCACACTGCCTGCAGGCACAGCAGAGCCCCGGTGCAAGTTTCAATTTCAGGCAGGCACCAAAATGCCCCAGAGGGGTAGGAAAATGGCCTGAACCCAATTCCCAGTGCACGTACCAAGGCCTGCTGCTGTCCAAGCAGCCTTTCCCAATAATTTTTAGCAACTAACGTGCCGTGCTACTAGTGTGATTTTAGAGTTCACTTTGTACTTGCCCAGTGGCTTAACTTGTTGTGAACAATTCCCCTCCCATTCCTGAGAAGAGGATTACTGCGCAATAGCCCTGGACCGAATCTTACCAGTACAGATTGTTTGCTACTCATTTCTTGGTGCAGGTTCAGCTGCGCACGCTGCTTATGTCAACTTGCTGCTGTGTGCCAGCCAAGGGCTGCTTTATTTCAACAAGCAAC